ATTCTGTCCCCCACTGATGCGCTCTCACAAGTAAGGGGCATGTTTGCCTACTTGGCAGGCTCTTCCCTTCCTTCCACATTGGATTTTTTTGGTTAGCTTTCTGGTACACCAGGACAGATGAGTAAAAACCAGGGGAAAAAAAAAAAAAGATACAAAAGATACTGGTCCAGTTGCCTGCCCAGATTTAGCAGGAAGGAGACGTGAGCCCATTTAAGGAACCAGGGTTCGATGGATGGGGAAAGAAGCGCCCTGCAATCCCACCAGCAGGCAATTAAACATGTTTCAACAAGGCTTCCCTAACGCTCCCTCCTCGCTTGCGAGCACCTGCCTGTTGCTGGGCTCTGGCATCACGGTCCCCCCAGGGACTCTGAACCTACAGGACCTGTCGCTGGAGGCTCACTTTGAGCTCACACTTTGTGGAAACGCTCCCACACGCTCAGCTTAATGTCTCTCCCCTCGACAGCCCCAGGGGGGTCTCAGCTAAGGGAGAATGGGGGAAACTACAAAGCACGGAGCGGTTCGTAAGAACAGCAGTACTGAGACGGGGGGAGGGAAGAAAGCGGAGTTTTAGTAACCAAATAATTGCTTGTTGAGGGATTAGCTTTCCAGTTTCCAGCTCCATTTGTCACAGTCTGCGATGGTATCACGCTTCCATACTCCTGGAAAGAACGGTTTGGAAAGTCTCCTTACCACCACGAGTAAGCGGTGCGGCTGCTGAGTGGGAGATCTGCTCCTCAGGATCCTTCTGAGAAGTCAGCGGGCAAGGATGCAGCCCAGGGCACTGAGCGCAAAGCCACATTAAACTGGTTCTCCAGGACAGACCAGCAGCTCATCACAGAGCAGAACATCCCCCAGACGCAGCGAGGGAGACTCACCTGGAACCCTGGACCGGAGGAAGTAGAGAAACTTCCCGTTTTTGGAGTGCATGATCGCTCTCTTTATGAACTCCACCACAGACTGGCAGCGGTCTTCAAACTTGGGGTGGCACCACAGGCTGAAGGTCCCTTCCAACAGAGCAGAAAAGGTTTCACGTTATAGGGGCACTGGTGGCAAGAGGAGACATTCAGGCACGGGTCTGATGTTCTCAAAGACCAGGTGACTGCCCCAGGCTGACTCCTTCTCGTAGAGCTGGGACAAGGCAGGGCACTAAGAGGAAACACCAGTGGCACCAGCTTGCAAGGATGCTATTCCACTGGAACCAGTGCTCTCCAAGAGCCGAGGATACGCCGAAAGACATGACAACCGTGACCACCGTAACCCAAGCACGGCCACAAGTCATGCTTGCCTGAACTCGTGAATAGCCTGCAGCAACTGCTGGGGCTAAAACTTAAACTCTCAAAACCAACTTCAACAGAGCATTAGCAGATGGCCCCGCTCCTCTGCAGCATCCCACCAACAGCACTCCCAAAGATTCAGCGCGGTTAAGCCCTCCCACAGAGGTACGTAAAAACAGTGATCCAGGTGCCGGAGTCCTCTCCTGCCAGCCCTGTGGCTGTCACGGATCACTTATTTCAAAGCAGGCATGGGAGCAGCTTCTCGTCCTTGCCAGCTGTTTCAAACACCTGAATTCAAATTACCGTCCAGCTAGAACCAGGGCCAAGGTACAGCGACACGGGCCCCCCGGCGCTGCTACCCGACACGGCGTACGCACGGAGCTCCAGCAGCAAACAACGAAACTGGAGATGGGCAACGCAGGGAAACCAGGCTCTCTAACCTGATCACAGATCTCTAAGTAGGTTAAGTTTAAGCCGCAAGTCAGACCAGACTCACGATCTCTTTGTGCTGCAACCAGACACCAAACGCATCAAAATGTGGCCGTTTATCCCCCCCCTTACTTCCCAAAACGCTGCCTGCATCCCCCTCCATCCCTGCCGTATCTCCCTTTATCTGCAGATTTGTCAGCGCTCCAGCGAGAGCCAAGGCAGAGCGGAGCGGAGCTTCACCAGGAAGAGGAAAACGGGCAAACAAGGGCTCCGCTTAGGACGGAGCCCATCAGGAGCCAGAGCCAGGCTGCGGCGGGGCAGATTCCAGCCGGGCAACACCACCGACCTGCACCCGCGCTGGTGCCACAATTCCTCTCCCCACAGCTAGGTCTGGTAGGCTTTACTGGGAAAAGCTCCCTCTCGCCCCTGCCACGGGCCAGTTTGGGGGCAATGATCTGGGTTAGCATCTGCTAAACATCCAGGAGTCAGCAAGCACAAAAATAAGTAATTCTTCTTGGGAATCTCGGATCTGAACAAGCCCTTAAAAGGGGCCAGCAGATGCAGAGGACAAAGCACAAACACCAGCCTCCCTCCCTAGCCTGTCCACTCAGTTTGCCTAAAAAAAAGGCGAAGAAATTCTGGTTTCTTCCTCTCTTCCACCTGAAACCTGAAGGTCAAGCATTTCTCTCTTTCCTATTCCCCCAGCCTCACCATTTGTCATCTTCATTGGTTTATCAAAGCGCTCAGCTCCGCAGTTTTCCACAGTGCCGCAGCACATTCAGCACAAGGCAGCCAGTCCTGGGGGGAGGCCAGGGCTGCCGACGCAGACCAAAAAGCGGCACCCAAAAAAACCAAAGTCCCCGACACGGTGCCGTGGCTGGGAGCGCTGCTCTAGGGAAGGCGGCAGCACCAACCTTCATCTGTGCAGCCAGAAGGACAGCTTGAGGAAAGGGAAGGACACCCGGCTAAGGAACCTCTGAGAACGGACATATCCCAGCCCCAAAATGAGAAACCAGACCAGCAGCAAGGGAAGTTTGCTCCAAAGCTCAATTATGAAAAAGGATCCCCCGTACAGGCAGCCTCACACCTCCCCCAGCTGCAAGAGCTTGTTGTAATTTCTGTAAGGCCAGGGTGATGAAAAATCCTTTCTTCTTATGCAATGCTCAGGGACGGGGGAACTGGCTCCAGATGGGCTAGAATTAACGCTGGGGCATCTCTCCATCACAGGGGCTCAAGACCAGAAGCACTGCAAGGTTTCACTAGCAGAGGTAGAAGACGACAACAGCAGCACCCCTGGGGCGAGGGCAAAAAGGAAAAAAAAAGACGATCTTTGCTCTGAAAGGTTGCAAACCACTATTTTCTGCAGCAGGTTGGCTGGGAAGCCTCTGAACCCATTATCTGCGGGCACGTTTAATGACAAGGCTCTGCAGGCAGCTGTTATTAAAACTTGCCCACTGGTTCCAGGGCAGCGTCCCCCCTGCCCACTGAGCCTCTCGGGCACTTCACTCAGCCCGAGGACGGCCGTCTGTACGAGGGTTCAAGACAGAAAACCACACGTGAAGACGAGCAGACAAAGCGTGTGGGCGAGGTGAGAAGCAGCTCAGGCAGGAGGGCGAGCGCAGCAGGAAGAAAGGGCGTGAACAGCACGCCAAGAGTTCTTGGAACAACAACCCACCGCGCTGGAGGTAAAGCCTCAGCCCGGGACCGACCGCAGCTGGTACCGCCGCCGAGCATCCCTCGGACGGGGGGAGAACAGAGCAAGGCGATGAGCTGCGACATCAAGAGATCACTTCTCATTTCCCAGGGGAACAAGCTTCATCTTGGGAAACACCGACAGCTACAAATGATGGCTCTTGCTGTACATCCCATCTCAGCGACATGGGAGTCCAAAGACCTCGCCATCATCATTCTCTTCGAGTCCAGTTTTCCGAAGTGAGGCCTGAGGACAGGCACAGCAAACCCTCGTATTCCCTCATTTTTCAGAGTTATAAGGAGAGTCACTGCTTGAGGCACAAGAAGTGAAGTCAAATGCAGTTTCTAAAGCCTCCTGCAGAACCTCAACACGAGCGTGAGGACACACTGCTGCTGCTGCTCCCCCTCTTCTGCCACCTCTGTGCCCAGAGCACTGTTTTGGGACCCCGAGATCAGACCGGTCCCCAGGCACAGGCCTCTGCTGACAGCAGCATCCCCAGAACCACCCGTGGCTCTTACCTCTGTAGTGCTCCATCCTGGTGTGATGGGTGATGCCCTGCGACCGAAAGCTGAGGCTCAGGATGTAACGGGGGTCAGAGCTGTCTCGGACCAGAAAGGACCCATCCGGTTTCCCCTTCAGCTTCATCTCTGCGTCCTCCCAGTTCATCGGTCCCCAGTACCACCCACACTAGGGCAAG